CCTTCCACTGTGATCCCTGCAAAGGTAGGAACACCTGAAAGCAATGGAGTAGTTACTAAGTAATGAGGCTTAAGAAGGTGTAAGAAGGTATATTCACCTTAAGAAGTGCTGTACTTCTTTCTCAACAGACACTATAAATGCAAGACCAAAAGAGAAGAAGGCTCAAAGCAAATGTGTTACACACTGTTTTCAAATACACATAGGAGAAACCATGTATGACATGTAGAAAGGGTCTGGAGCAAACAAACAAAAACTAAAAGGACAGACCTGTGATTAAGTTAAGACTGTGATGAACTCAGGAATGAATATTTTTTCCTTATGTTTACTGAATAGTAATGTTATTACTTCACATATACAAGTATCCTTTTTAATGTTTATAATGATTTAAACAAAATAATAATAACAAAAAAATTCTTATTTCATAACAATTTACCAAAATGTTTTTTAACAGGGCTAAGTCATGTTTCTACCAGGAAATAAATTCAATATTTGAACTTATATACATTTTTGTATCTACATGCTTGACTGTACATCACATTGATGAAATTCCAGCTTTAGAGTGGAGGGATAGGGGCTGGGGATTTAGCTCAGTGGCAAAAGCGCCTGCCTGGCAAGCGCAAGGTCGTGAGTTCGGTTCCCGGTACCGGAGAAAAACCAAAAACCAAAAAAAAATAAAAATAAAAATAAAATAGAGTGGAGGGATAGGCAGCTTCTGACACAGTGCCCAATGCCCCTCACACCTTGGCAATAACTGGCCCCTTGAGTGTGGGCTAGACCTAATGACTTGATCCCATCAAGAGCAAACAGGCAAACGTGTTCTGTCACATCTGTAACTAAGTTAAGAGCCTGTAACTTCCATTTTGCCAGTAGACTCTTTCCCTGCCTCTTCTGCCAGTTTGCTCTCAGGAAGCCAGCTACAGGTGGCCATGTTCAGGAATGTCATGTCCACCCAAATGCCAGGAATGAACTAAGGCCCTCAGTCCAACAACTTTCAGGAATGGAATCCCACCAACAAACCACATGAGTGAGTTTGGAAGTAGACCCATTTCAGTTCAAGTCTTCATATGAGACCATAACCCGAGCAAGGCAGGCTAATTACAATCTTGTGAGAAACCCTTAAGCAGAGGACTCAGCTAAGCTGTGGCTAGATTTCTGACCAGAAATTGTGAGAGTACGAGGTGTGTTCAAAATATATGTGAATGTTTAAATCTCTTTCTTTTTAGAATTTTATAATAAAAGACACATTATCATTAATTCCTTTCGAAATATTCTCTCTTACTTTGACCACAATTATCCAATTATTCTTGCCACTTTCTGAAACAAGTGTGGAAGTCCTCTTCTGCATCCTTGGTTGCACTGTTGTAGCTGTCTCAATGTCTTGGATCAATTCAAAATGTTTACCTTTCATGGTCCTTTTGACTTTGAGGAAGAGTCAGGAGTCGCACTGTGCTGTATTTGGTAAGTTTGGTGGATGAAGACATACCATTATGTTTTTATGAGCCTGCATTTCCATTGGGTGGCACTCAGCAACAGTATTCACCAAGTTTTTGATCATGCCTTATCAACACACAAAAAAGGATTCCGAAGTTGCTTAAGAAAGTGGCAAGAATAATGCCATAAGTGTGTCTGAAAGAAGGGAGTCTTAGTTACTTTTCTCATTGCTGAGACAAAATACTTGACAGCCATAACTGAAGGAGAAAAGGTTTACTTTGGCTCACTGTGGGGACCCACTAAGACTGTTTCAAAGCTCAGGGTATCTAAGGACAACTGAGGACATGACCCTGCTTATCCAGCACAGGCGCATAGCATGATACAGTTATGTACCATGACTTAGCACAGGTAAACACACATGCGCTGGTTATGGCACCATTTAAGAATGTAAATATGAGATAACAACCTGTATAAGAACTACACAATAAAGACACAGGTGGCTCTTGCTCTGGCTCTTGGGCTCATGGGCTCTTCTCCTCTGCTCTGCTCCATGCCGCCTGTTGTTGTTGGTGACGTCTTGCACAAGTGCGTTCTTTAACCTTGGGACCTCAAATACAAAAATCTCCCTTTGGCTCTCCCCTGCCTCGATGTGTGTGTGCCGACACCCACATTTTGTAGAGGTTTCATTCCACAGGTGGCTGGATCCAAGGTGGGGTGGCATGGCAGAGGGGCATCAAAGAGGAGGCAGCCCATGGCAGAGCAGGCAAAAGGTCAGAAGGCAGCAAGCAGCAGCCAGTATTCTTTCTGTCCCTTTACATCCCATCCAGGCTACAAGCCTACTGATTGGTGCTACTCACACCCATGGTGGAATTCCCATTATCCACATCAAGAACTATGCCAAACCAAGGGCTTGGGGATATAGCTCAGCAGCACAGGTGCCTGCCTGGCAAACACAAGGTCCTGAGTTCAATCCCTGGTACTCAAAAAAAAAAAAAAAAAAAAGAACAAAAAGAACTATGCCAAACCAATTTAGTTATCATGCACCCCTAATCCTAGTATCATACCCTAGATCCTGCTACCTCTGAAAAGCCTCACTTATGAGTGCATGAGGCTTGGAGGGGACATCTAGATACAAGTCATAAGAAAGGGAGAATATTTTGAGGGATATTAATGGCAATATGTCTTTGACAATAATAAATTTTAAAAATTTAAGCATTCTCTGCATATTGTGATCACATCTTGTAGTGGATTAACTAATGGTCAACTTGTAACACCCAGCTGAATTGAGTCAGTGTGATTCTAGGTGTGGAAGGCTCACCTAAAGATTGTTGCCAACAGCATAAAAAGATAACTGGAGGGGAAGATGTTAGGCTGTTGATTCTTCTGGAGAAGCTTGTTATGCTGGTTTTCCCGATACGAACTCAGCTGTTATCATCGGAGGAGCTTGGGTCCTTGCTGTTGCCGAAGATGGCTTCGAGCTCAGGTCCTTACCTTGACTGTCGCTTTCTGGCTCCAGTGCAAATCCCTCAGCCTGCTGGCACAGATCCTTCATTCCGCTGATGCAGACTTTCTAGCTTCCACTATTGACTTCTGCGCCTTCCCAGAGCAGATCCTTTATACAGACTTACACGAGACATTGTTGTGGGCTCTAGGCCTCCAGCTGGACTTGTGGAGGACATTTTCATGAATTTCAGAACTTCAGCTGCACTTGTGCAGGACACTGCCATGAGATCCAGGCCCTCAGCTGGATTCTTTGGTTCTCTAATGGGTGGACATATCTCTTGTACTCTTTTGCATTTGACTTTTGGGTGAATATTAAAAAATAATCCTATAAATTATGTGTCCTGTATTAAATCTATTCCCTTGTAAACCCTGATTATAACACATTTCATGCATGTATATTATTTTACTCTGCTAAGCTATGGGGCAATTTGATATACAACAGCAGATAACAAGGTAGTTAATCTAATGACCAAGCCAATGATTCTAGTGTCATTTCGATAATAATAATAGTAGATAATATTTACAGTATTTGGAACTTTTACTTGGTACCATTCTTAATACCTGATATAATTCCCCACAAAAATATTTTCAATATATTATTATTGCTATTTTACATATGAGGAAACTGAAGTAGAGACTCAAAAACTTGCCCAAGATCACCAAAGTATTTGAATCTAAGTGCCCTGGCTCTGGAGCTAGAGCTCACGGCAATTATGCATGTGGAACCACTACGAGGCAGAGTTGAAAACCAGAAAGACAGTAATCATATAACACAGTGCTAGAGATTTCAAAGGAACAAAAAATATTAGAAGCCACACAAAAGGCTAAAAGCAAAAGCAAAACCTATTCTTCTGTTTTAAATCATCTTATCTAGGAAAAAACCCCAAGAATAGAATAATACAAATTAGAACACAATCTCAAATTTACTGAATTTACTTAGAAATAAAAAATGTATTTTCTAATATCCAATAAGAGAAAATTGAAAATCTCCATTTGTAATTAAAATCCAGAGTCAGGAAAACTATAATTGTGCTTTTTCTGAGGGCTGTAATGAGTGATGAGTCAAGCTGGCAAGAAAAGAAGCAAATTCCTAAGGAGCTCCAAGACCAACTGAGAAATACTTTATCATGTGGAATGAAAAACTCAAGATCCTACACAGAGGTGACAGGAAGAATCTCTTCCTCTCCTGCCTTAAGATTACTAGGTTAGACAGCACACCTGTCTGCTTCCACATACCCTGTACTTACAAGAGGTGACAGCTGTCACAACTACTGGTTAGTCTATCTTTTTCATCACGCTTCAAGCTCTCTTATGGATGTCCTCAAAACAGTACAGTGCCTGATACATGGCAGCCCTTAATATGTTTGCTGAATAATCTTCCCAATCACATCCATCCAGTGGGTCATTTCAATGATACACTGTAAGTGAAAGTGTAACTTTCTGTTTTAAGTCTCTTGAAGTTCACTTCAAATATATTTCTGTGACTTTAGTGCCTCATTTAATATCTAGCACATAGTGGTGGCACCCAAGAAGTATGTGTGAATGAACAAATATCTCTCAAAATGCTGTCAAGTCAAGAATATAAAAGGAGCCAGACTTGAAAGTAAAGATTCAGTGTTCTATAGCATTGGCCTATTAATGATATTGATGATGATACACTGTTTTTGCTTCTGAGAGAAGGCATAAATATTTTAAGAATACTCTCCCAATAAAGATAAGATTCTTATCCATGTTTCAGCTGAGAACTGCTCTTAAATACCCCCTTATGAAAGACAGTAAGTTAAATGTAACATCAGAACTTCAGATAATCCTAGATTCAAAGGCATTCATTTCAGAAATTCCTGTCCTCCCTCTTTTACTCTTTGAAACATTATGCGAATTTCATGAACACATATTCACACAGGTCCACATAACAGATATGGATGAAGGCAGCCACCAACTCTCCCTTTCTCTGTTCTATTTATCTGTATCTATTAACCAAGAGACAAAAGAGCAAAGGAAAGTCCAGGAGGGTTTGTGTGAGTGGGTAATCAGGTATCCGCAGTTTCCTCCTCTGGCATACTTACTGGGAGCTCTGGGGCATGCTTCAAGATCTGAAGAATTATGTAGCAGCCTAATGAATGGCCAATGAAGATAAGCTTCATATCCTTTGGCACGTGAGTTCTCAGAAAAGCTATTTTGTGCTCTATTTGACCACGCAGTCCATAGGTGTCCTTAATTTCTTGAGCATTTGGATCTAAAAGCAAAAATACAAGCATGCTTTCACTCCATAAGAAAAAGTAATCACTATACTGGAAAAATATTGACAGTACTAACCATATTTCTTATAATGTACCAGTTGAAGTATTAGGCACTCAAAGTATATTAATCAATCCTCACAAAAATTCTGGAAAATATTATCATTTTCATTTTATTTTTTATTTTTTATTTTTTATTTTTGGTTTTTCTCCGGTACCGGGAACCGAACTCACGACCTTGCGCTTGCCAGGCAGGCGCTTTTGTCGCTGAGCTAAATCCCCAGCCCCTCATTTTCATTTTATAGGTGAAAATCTCAACACTCATATGTAAGACTAACAGTCACAGATCTATTAAGTTCAAATCAGATGTTTGTCCTTAAGCCCATGACCTTTCAACTATTCCACAAACCACTGTTAGCTTAGGCTAGTAGTTCTCAAACATAAGCACGAACAGAATCTCTTGGAAGCCCTGTACAACAGACTGCTGGGCCTACCTCCTGCGTTTCTAACTCAGTAGGTCTGGGCTGGCTCAAGAATCTGCATCTCTAAATTTGCAGATGTTGATGTACTGATGCCACGATAACACACTGAGAACCGCTGGTTTAGATTAATCTATATTAACAGACAACTAAGAAAGTCTGTTACACTGCTTTATTACTTTCTTTTTTTTTTTTTTTTTCCCGGTACCGGGAATCGAACTCACGACCTTGTGCTTGCCAGGCAGGCGCTTTTGCCGCTGAGCTAAATCCCCAGCCCCCTGCTTTATTACTTTCAATAATTTTTGTTTAAAGAACCTGTACTTAAAGGCTTAAGTGGAAGTGTTGCAGACTCTCTTGTAATTAGCACAGTCTTGATCTGAAATATCCTTCCTTTCTGTCACACATGAACTGTTTTCCAGATTTTTCAAAGTCTAATTAAAAACTACCTTTGTCTTAAAGGAGATCACAGTTTACTAAGAGGAAACATAAAAACACAATTAACAAAACCCTGAAGCCGAAATCTCAAAAATTTGCTTGAGAAAAGAACATGGTTTTACTGGATCATGACAGAAAGGTAGTACTCCTCTGGACTCATAAAAAGTACTGTACTTTTTTTCAAGTTACCCAAAATAAGTAAACTAGAAAATATTCTTTACTACATGCACATTACCATAAATGTGTAAGTTTAACTACATATTTGAATGTGAGCATAACAGTCTAAACTATATATATAACATACACACATATGTTTTTACACAATGAATAAAAATGCATAAATTCAACTACATATTTTTATATACACTGTATTTACAAATACCCTACAACCACAAAAATGGTCAGACTAGACATTAGTGCTACTGGAGACTTGTGCTAGAATTGAGTCTGCAGCACCATACATTTCAGACTAGATTTTCTCAATTGCCAAACTTTCCCAACCTGTCCCTACCATTATGCCAAAGCTGTACTTTACCGTGAGAGGTAAAAGACATCCCCACCATACTTTTCTAATGAAAATATGTACTGCAGCATAATAGTAGCCAGTTGTGCGTCTCAGTAGCTGCGCTGGGGGACTACTTGGAGCTCCTTTGTGTTCACCCACTTGGTCTGATGAACAGCAAGGTGTATACACATGTGTCAAAGTGTGAACAGGGGTGAGTTTTACTCATGTGCTGTGTTACATTTTTGTGCATTTATAATTTGTCTTATTGAATGTTTTCCTTTTTCTTGTAGAATTAGCCCAATTCAGTATAATATCGCATGAAAATCCACTTTCAGGTGACCTGGTTACCAATGATGGCTTGGATCATGTAAGTGAAAGCATTTAGCAAGTTATGATAGATATAAGTAAAGACTGAAGACCTTGATTCAGATAAGGAAGAAAACAGTAGGTGTGATAACTGAAGCAAAGATTATTTCTGTGGTAGAGTTTTGTTGTATTTTCACTGTACTTCAACAGAAATTTATTTATGTTGTTATTTTTTTTTGATTTTGCAAGTAAACAGTTGATGTTGAAAATGTTGATGTTTAAATACTCATTATATATTAAAAATTTACTATTTTTTTTACTGATATTTTATTTTCCTGTTAAGCACACATTTTAATAAAACACATAAAATTAGTAATTTATCAATAGAAATACTCCTAAAATATAAACATGGGCTTATACATCCCCCTTAATGTGCCTTTCAAAGAAATCTGCCATAATGCTCTGAGGGTATGATAAGCAAAAACTTTTTTTTCACTGGTGCTGAGGAATGAACCCAGGACTTTGTGCACATTACCACTGAGATATATCCTTATTTTTCCTTCTTTTTTCCTTCTTCCTTCACCCCCTGCCCCGGCCATTCATTTGGTATGAGGGGCTGAATCCAGGGCCTTTGAGCTGAGCTACATCCCCAGCCCTTTAGTTATTTTTTTTAAATTTTGAGATTGTGTCTTGCTAAGTTGCCCAGGCTGGGCTTGAACTTGCAATTTTCCCATCTCAGCCTTTCAGAGTGTTAGAATTACTGGCATGCACCACCACATTTGACTCCCAGCCTTAGTAACAGTTTTAACAAAAAATTCACATGTATAAAAAAAGGTTAAACACAGAACTTCATATTTAAAAGAATACTTTGACACTAGAAATCACTTTGAAGAAACCAAAATATAGTACAACAACCACTGATAATTTCCTACCATTTTTGTCTGTAACTCACTATTATTTGTCTACTTGTTTTCCTGAGAAACTATCTTGAAGACACCAATAGGTAAAATAACAACCATTGATAATGTCCTACCACTTTGTAACTCGGTAAATCCCCCATTACTATGTTATCCTTCTTTTACTCTTTTAAATAAATATAAATAAATAAATAAAAGAATACTTTGAGCAAGATGAGTATAATCAGGTATCCCCCTCACCACTGTGGCCATACTATGTAGGCCAGGCTGGCCTTGAACTTGTAGCGATCCTCCTTCCTTAACCTTGTAGTGCTGAGTTTACAAGTGTGTACCACCACCACTGGCTACTCAGATAAATCTTTTAAAACACATAAAGCATATTCATATATCCATATAAAAAAGCCATGAAACATTTACTCTAAATTCATGAAGGGAGAACTGAAGATGGGATAAAAACAGATGGAACTTTTTATGTATTAGTTACTTCATTGATTTTATTAACAAACATACTGAGTAATTACGGCACTATTAACTGTCACTTTTGAGTAACAAAACTTGGACAGTTATATTATTGTTTGTATAAGCCTTAAATGTTTCTATGATTTTAAAAATTTCTCAAGATAAATTCTTTTGAAAACTGAGAATGCTTTGACAAGTTGTTCTCAGCTCTCTTGCATGTATTTCAGAGGGGGAGAGTATGCTATTCAGTTATTACTCAGAATGGATCCAAAGCCCCAGAGGACTTTCTGGGTTCATGCCATATATCAGTGAGGCAGCTGGATAAGAACTGCAGTCCCTAATTCTTTGTGCTCATTTAGTTCATGGATCCAAAAGACTTTGCTCTCACAACTGTCCCCTGAGTTTATGAAGCTGGTCTGAAAGTACACTCTCACAGTTTATGCTCATCTGTTCCAAGCGCCCTAAGTATTCTGTAAGCTTCCTGCATCTAAATATTGAGGCAACTCTGCTAGCTTTGGAGGCATGTGGCACTCTGAGAAGACAGCAGACAGGCACTCTATTCAAAACCACGATCTTACTTAAAAACAAATGAGAAACTATAAACCCCAAGCACATATCTTATATAAGATTTTAAATTATTATTCTCCAAACAGATGGTAAAATCCAAGGTCCTCAAACCATGTTTTCCAGTTGACTAATATCAATGATTTATCTTCTGAGGACTTCAGCAGAAATAGGGCAAACAGGAGAAATTCAGCAAGAACAAAATGCTATAGACTTAGGAAATAGCCAAAGAGGCGCAAAAGTGTGAGGTGCTATTTTGGAAAAAGCCGTGAGTTCTCTGGCTATCTGTGGCTATAGGAAGAGGGTCAGCAAAGGTTAGAAAGGAAGCTTGTGACTAATTCAATAAGACATAAAACATCACCCCAAGCAGTCTGGGCTCATTCCATGAACAGTGAGAAGACTTCCAAGAACTGCAAAGAGAGGAGTAGCATGGTCTGCTCTGTGGTACAAGACAGGACCTATCATGTTGACACTCGGTCTGTCTGGAATGAGGACAGTGTGCCCAATTCCCAACCTCTCTTGCTCTGCCCTTCTAGCTTCTTTTGACCCAGAGGCTAGCTTATCTTCCTAATGACTGTGATCTGAGACCAGACTGACTAAGTGTTCCTGCCTTGGGCTCATCCAATCATTCCATATTTCCTGTTCCTCGGCTAGTCCTGATCCTGCCAATGGAGAAACCATAACAGGCTTGTCTCTTTATTTGAGGGACTACTCATCACTAATTGCAAGATCATTTAATTTTTAAAGTAACATTTTGTGTTACCACTGAACAAGTACAACTTCTAGCTTCCTTTTCTACTTTTTGAACAAATGACTTGAAATAACTGATAATGAATGTCATTGATTAAGCAGATTCGAGTAATTCAAAGCAAAAAAAGTTTATACTAATTTCTTCAATTTTCTTTTCACTTTTTAAATTGAATCATCACCTTCTGATGTAGGTGAACATCTGTTCTACTACATTCAATGTATAATGACTTGTGATTGTGACAATGTGGTACAACTGGAATATTATTTCCAACCTTTCATAATGTTAACATGGCTGGGCGTGGTGGCGCATGCCTGTAATCCCAGCACTTGGGAGGTTGAGGCAGGAGGATCACTGTGAGTTCGAGACCAGCCTGGGCTACAAAGTGAGCTCAGGGCCAGCCTGAACTCAAGAGCGAGACCCTGTATCAAAAAGAAGAAACAGAACAAAACATAATGTTAACATGTCAATATGAAGCAAAATGCACTGTTAACATTTGATGTGTTATTTTAGCTTTGTCTCAATAACTATGTATTTTTCATACCATATTCTGACAGTAATCTTGGATGATGAATAATGTATCTGT